GGCAATGGAGCGCCCTGCCAGCGGGGCCGGAGGTCCCAAACGGGGCTCCCATTGTGGCGCTGAGCTCTGGGGGAGGGGGAGCCCGGACTAAAGCGCTCCAGAGGCCGAGACCTCAGAGCACGTGGGCACTCCCGCCCCTCTCCCTCTGGTGATAGACCCGGGTCCTGCGATAAGCCCGGGTCCTGTGACAAGCCCCCGGGTCCTGCAGGAAGGCAGAGACCCGGCTCTGCAGCCATTCCATCCCATGTGAGGCTGCCGCCTCACGCAGCTGGGCCACCAATCCGTCCATGACAGCCCCACGGACCGCACCGAGACCCCCAGGGAAAAGGTCCTAACAATATGCTGGCGTAGGGAGGGTGGGAGGGAATCTCACTCACCAACGTCTAGCTCCGAATGATGCCCCCCGGGACACCCCACCCTAAGGTGCGGCAGAGCCCACCCACGCTCTCTCTCCACCAACCAGCACCCCCAGCTATACTTTTCCACACCCCCTGGCACATCCTTAACCTTTTTATTCTCCTTCCCACTCTAGGCCTAGTCATGCCTGCCCTGCGCTAATTTTCCTTTCCTTTTTTCGCTACGGGCATTACTTTATGAACACAGGGGGTTGGTCACTCGGCATTTGCACCATTTATAAAAAGTTTAACATTTTCTCAGTAAATGCAAAGTATTCTCTGATTGGAAGAGGTGGAGAGGCAGGTCATAAGAACATGCAAAGCATTCTCTGAATGGTGCTGTGCTGAGTGGACAACCTCCTGTGTTCACAATGCAGTAAGGCAGCCATTCAGCATTGGACCTGCAAGCTAGTGGAAGTCACTGTACTAGCATTGTTTACTACTCTGACTTGCAAGGATATATTATTCAATTTCTAATAGGCAGGATGCAATATGAACATACACTCACCCACCACTTTACTAGGTACAAGGAATTTTCATCCACACAACTGCCACTCACTGGATGTTTTCTATTTTTCGGACCATTCTCTGTAAACCCTAGAGATGGTTGTGTGTAAAAATCCCAGTAGATCAGCAGTTTTTGAAATACTCAGACCAGCCTGTCTGGCATCAACCACCATGCCACATTCACAGTCACTTAAATCCCCTTTCTTCCCCATGCTGATGCTCGGTCTGAATTTCAGCAAGTTGTCTTTACCACGTCTAGATGCCTAAGTGCATTAAGCTGCTGCCATGTGATTGGCTGATTAGCAATTTGTGTTACCAAGCAATTGAACAGGTGTACCTAATAAAGTGGCCAGTGAGTGTACATGGCTGCAACTGTTAGTTTCAAACAATGAATGTATTCAGTTGAACATTATACAGTTATGTAAAGCCACAACCTATGTTTTAAGCAGATATGATAAATAAAGATGGGGGGGTAGTGGTTCTTTGACAGTTGCTCATTCATGCTCTTGCAGTATCCAATGCCCCAAATGGGAACTGTTTAAAACATGCATGCTATCACAGTTAGAGTAGAACTATAGCCAATTTATTTTCATTTTGGACAGCGTAAGGGAGGGTTATAACCCCTGTCAGATTATTTTTTTCGCCAGCTTTGTCCTATTGTGGAGATTTTCCTTCATTTCCTGTTCCATAGACAAAACAGGAAGTGAGAGGAAATTCCTGCAAATTAAGGGAATACCTTGGGGACCCCCAGGTCAGCAGAACTCATTGGAAGATTTCCCCTTTTACTTTTCTGGGGACAACCCAAAAATTTGGGATTTCTTTTACTTTCACTTTCAACAATAATGGTAAATAGGACAAATAGAGTGGGTGAGTCTCCTTAACAGGGCACCCAGCAAAACTGACAGGGGTTCTAATCCACCTCCATTCTATCCAAAACTAAAATAAAAGTTTTGCCTTTTGTTATACTTTTAACATGTGATAACTGTAGTATATATGAAGAGTTTCTTCTTCCTTAAGGGCTTGTTCACACCATGGTGCAGAGATGTCAGTTTTTCTGCAGGTGTTCTGCAAGGGCACAACTAAATCAATTGTTCTCTATGTGCCCTGTTCACACCTCAACACTTGTATCATGTGCAGATTTTTTAAGCCCAGCAATCTGCAACCTGTATAAATCTCATTGGAGTGCGCATGAAAACTGATGTCTCTGCAAGTGAAACTCTGCATGTCAGTTTCCATCAGTTTCTCTGCACGTATGGTGTGAACGAGACCTAAATCTGAACACTGATCATTTGGCTCAGAGGACAACTCAACAAGTACAGGTGTAATAGAGCAAGCTGCACTACATACCAAGTTGATAGTTTAACTGGAAATACACTTTAAAGTGTTACTAAACCCAGGACCCTGCATTCACTATATCTGGTCTCCCACGGTACACACAACATGGGAATGTAATTATTTTAGTAGTAAATATAAAACTGCTAAATACCTTTTCTCATCAGCAGTTAGAGCAGTCTTGTGACTTCTATCAGTGTCTAGCAGAGCACTGGTTAAAGCTTGTAGGAGGAGTTTTCATTCTCCTCTGACTGTCCTATGAGGCTGCAGGACCCCTGACCTGTCTGGACAGTGCTGATCAGGGGCGGACTGACAACTCATGGGGCATTTCATGGGGCCTATAAAAGGAACCAGGGGCATTTCATGGGGCCCCCTACTGACCTCGGGCCCTCGGGCAGTGCCTGAGTGCTTGAATGGTCAGTCCGCCCCTGGTGCTGATGGGCCCTGTACTAATCACTCTCTCATGCACTCTCCCAAGAAAAAAAAACTCTGTAGCAATACACATCAAACTGGGCATGTGCAGCTTGCCCCCAAGGCTCTGTTCTATCAGCAAGGATTGGGGACAGTAGAAGAAGGGGTGGATCAGAGAAAACAGGATCAAACAGTGTTTTTACACAATGCAGAGGATTAACCCCTTAGGTTCCACAGTGAGCATAAAAAGCATGCTTTACTGCATATACAGCCTGACTCCACTGTTGTGGGTTTAGTAACACTTTAAGAGGTGCATGAGTCCTAACAATGAACTCTTTTTTTTTTGCTCTCTCTTAAATAACCATTGAAAGCATTTTGTTATATGTGTCTGATACGTTCAAAAAACAAAAAAAAACACATGTTGATCATGCCGGATATGCAAAGCGGTGCTATGTCTTGTACAGACTTCTTGGGGTTTATTTACTAAAGCTATAGTGTGCAAAATCAGGCTCACTTCTGCATAGAAGCCACCCAGCTTCCAGGTTTTATTGCCAAAGCGTAACTGAACAAGCTGAGGTTAGAAGCTGATTGGTTTTTCTCTGCAGAAGTGAGCCTGATTTTGCACTCTCCAGCTTTAGTGAATAAATCCCCTTGTGTTATCCCAATACATCTAATTAGCCCTTCTAGTTATAATTTTACAACTACAGAATGATTTGTCTTCCATGTTGTGAAAAATGTTAAATAGCTCATACTATATATATTGGCAGTTTCTGTGGAAATCAGCAAAGGAAAGGATTACTTTAAAGGTCTTCAGTGCTGTACTCTTCTAACATCCGCATGTACAATTACATTGGAAATCAAATGCAGATATGACTCTTACCAGTCAAGATTATGCTGGACACATCACCTGAGCGAATCTTGTTTTATTATAAATGACAGGGATGTGAAAACCAAGAATTTACATTCCAACCATGTAGTTCCACTAGGAATAATATTACATTCAAGATAACAACCCCACCTAGTGGCAGAACTACTAAACACAGTATAATATATGAGAATGGTTGTTGCACATATGTCTATGTACAAATCGTGCTAACCCTTCCTTTGTATAGACCCTAACTTACAATTAAACATGGGTGTTGATTACAGGAAAAAGCAACAAAGCCTCTTCTTGGTTGCTGTGTAGACTGTCCTATCCAGCTCTCCTTGCTTGCTTATTGACTACAGAGTGGAATGGCTGAAGAGAACTGAAAGGGCAGACTACTTGCCACAAGGAAGAAAGTAATCCAGTCCCTTAAAATGGAGTTCCAGTGAAAAAAAAAAGTAAATAAAAGTCAGCAGCTTCATAAACTGTAGCTATTGACTTTTAAAAAAAACGGACACTTATGCTGGCCATACATGGGTCGAAATTCTACCAATTTTTTTGTCCGAAAATCGGACCTAAGAATAATCGGACGATTTTTGCTCTGTTAGTGGGTCAATGGCACCGGGCGATTTTTGTGGTTCCTCCCCTTTCCGGTGATCAGATATGTGGGAAAATTTGTGAGAAACGACCAATTTTCGACTCAATGATGGTCAAATCGTACTATCGTTTTTCCGAAAAGAATATGCGCATGAGCCGTGACCTGGAAGGAACAGAAGTTTCACCTGTTATATGGGGTGAACTTTATGACTTGGTGCCTATTTTCTAAATCATTGATGGCACCATCGGATTACCGAGCAAACGAGTCGATTTTCGGACAAAAAATCGTTCGAAATTCAACCCATGTGTGCCCTGCATTGCTTGTCCCTCGATCCCACGGTGTCCTCCCTGAAGCCAGGTTCACCAGCTGTCCTGTGTTCCCGGCGCCGGCATCTTCAGAGTGGGTACCCGGCTGTGACAGCTTGTGGCTTCACTGCCGGGTGGTCACTGCGTATTGTAGTATATTGTGTGTAATATATATATACAGCATATATAGATAGATATTGAAGATATTCAAACACATACTGTTCATTCTTGGATTACATTCTTGGATTACACAAGAACTCTTTGCTATGTTAATGTTATGCAAGGTCACCTTGGTATTTGGGGAATAGCCTGTTTGTCCCAGAAGACTATGAGGAGAGAAGGGTGGGAGGACTACTGGTGGGAGAGGGTACCTGTCAATTTCCGGTACCCGCTCCCCAAAGGTGCCAATCCTTAACGGGGAGTGAGGGACCAGTCTTTAAAGCAGAACTTCCCCTTTTGGGTGGAGCTCCACTTTAAATACCAGCCTGATAAGCCTGTTGTGGCCCTAGATGTCATACCAGTATTTATTAAACCTGTCACATTTATCTTGATTCACCTAATGCCATTTCTGTACTCTTTGCTTGTAGGGAGACTCCGGAGGGCCTCTGATTTGTAAAGGGGTACAGGAAGGTATAGTGTCATTTGGTTATCATCACCCCCCTGGTGTCTATGCAAGAGTTGGAAAGTACTTGGATTGGATCAAACAGACCATGTCAGAACATGAAGACCCAAAACTCTGAACAATGCTGTTTGTGCATAATTTGCCACACCACCTTTATTTTCCTTTCACAAATTTCTGATTTTCATGGTAAAAAATATGTACAGTATATGAACATACTCATATGTTAACATTAGTACTGAAATGTAACAGGAGTCATGAATGATGTTTGGTCAGATAATCGCAGTCATGATTAATAAAAAAGATTTAAGCAGCATTATATGCTTACATTATATAGGTACGTATATTCAGAGCCAACCTTACTTTGATGATGGGATGAATAATGATAAGCTAACTGTACAGAATGAGGTCACAAAGAAAATGAAAGAGAAGCTGCAAAGAAAATGAAACTTTCCCTTTCTGCATCATGCAACAACATGGTTTCAATCAGGGGCGGACTGACAACTCATGGGGCCCCCGGGCAATAGGAGATCATGGGGCCCCTGTGTCCTTGCCCAAACTCAAAAAATCCTATGAAAAAGGTACCAGGGGCATCTCATGGGGCCCCCTACTGACCCCGGGCCCTCGGGCAGTGCCCGAGTTTCCAAATGGTCAGTCCGCCCCTGGTTTCAATCAAGATGTGACTTTAGCAGTAGGCCACATGAGAAGTACTAGTAAAGGTAATAGGCCGATCAACCCAATAGGCTGAGATAACCCCTGCCTGCTATAATTACTGTTCCCATTCACCTTCAAGTTTTGTGTATTGCTGTCCATCTTTGTATATTCCAGATCCTCCTTTTGCATTATTGATAATACCATATCAATAAATTAAAAAATAAATAAACAACAGGAAGAGTGAAAACCTCTTCTAATGACCATAGGGGGAATGCAGAACCAGGGACTCGAGTACAGAGGTCTCTCCAGGTGAGTCCCTCAGGTTTTTCTCTCTAACATCTACCAAAAAAATAAATGTCAGTTTTGGGTGGGTTGACCCTTTAACCATTTGCCCTCTATTGTATTTACTCCCCTTCCTGACCAGACCATTTTTTGTGATACGCCACTGTGTTACTTTAACTGACAATTGCGCGGTCATGCAACGCTGCACCCTACTTAAATATATGTCCTTTTTTCCCACGAGTAGAGCTTTCTTTCGGTAGTATTTGATTGCCCTTGCATTTTGTATTTTTTGCGCTATAAACCAAAAAAGACCAATAATTTTGAAAAAAAAAATATTTTTTTCTTTTTGCTATAAAACATATCCAGTAAAAAAATTTTAAAAATCAAATTTCATCATAAATTTAGGCCAAAATGTATTCTCCTACATGCCTTTGCTAAAAAAAAATCCCAATACGTGTAAATTAATTGGTGTACATGAAAGTTATAGCGTCTACAAATGGCGGTATATATACTGGATTTTTTTTTTCATACTAGTAATGGTGGGCATTCTGACATGGGGGGGGAAACTGACCGTCACTGACATCACCAATACAGTGATCAGTGCTAATGAGTCCTCATGCACACTGGACATTTTTACATTTTTATTTTTGGCTTTTGACATTTTTTTCTACAGCCAGTAAACTCCCCAGCATGTTATCGTATGTGTCCATGCACACATAGACTGTAATCAACATTTTTTGGCTTGGACGTTTCTTGGCTGGAAAAAAAACCCCAGAACTAGTGGGTTTCTAGAGGAGTTTTTTAGCTGTAAAACTGCTCTAACGCTGACAAATGTGGCAAAACACAGTAAAAAAGCGGGAAAATGCTGCTAATCGTGGCAAAACACTGCTAAATGCTAATGCAAAAACGCTAGAAAAGCTGAAAAACTTTACACAGCTTACGTTACCAGTGTTATCAAAACGCCCAGTGTGCATGGAGCCTCAGAAGCACTGACAGGTTACCAATGACACTGGGCAGGAAGTGGTTAACATCTGGGGTGATCAATTGGTTAACTGTGTGCTGTGTGTGTTGTACTGTGTGATTTACTAGGGAGGCATGCTGTTTTGTATTGCTGTGCTATGCACAGCAATACAAAGCAGCATGCTGGAGCTTACAGGGGGAGATCTGTATTGTTTACATACAGACCTCTCCCCCGTCAGTCATAGTCGATGATCACTGGGTGCCGACGTGGAATCTCCGGCCAGGTGATGAACAGCTGTAGCATCGAACGGTGGCGTGGGTAGGGGGCGCGTGCGCCCCCTACCCAGAAATACAAAATCATGTATATAGACGTGATTTTGTGCAGCCCTGCCGCCCTGTAGCAGTAGTTCTGCTATAGGGCGGTCAAGAAGCGGTTAATTATGCCATTTTGGCATATTTATTAAATTCACAATGGATGGAGACCCAACTAAAAAAAATATGTGCATTTTGCACATGATAACAAAGGCAAATAAACCTTTTATTTAAGCATAGAACTTACACACTTCCTTGTTTTATTAAGTAGTATAGTTCAGATCTTTGCAGTTACATGTGGTGTATTTTAAGGTAGCTCTAAACCCTAACTGGATGACTTTACGTTTACTAAAACACTGTTTTTTTCATAAAATACTGTTTTTAGAATGTTTTCATTGATTGTTTCATCTCCATGCTGCTGATCTCCTACAACCTTTTTCACCCACTTTCTGTCTATATTAAAGCTGTCCTTTAGCAAGTGGGGTGAACATACAGTGAACAAGTAGCAAGTGAACATACAGTGGGGCAAAAAAGTATTTAGTCAGCCACCAATTGTGCAAGTTCTCCCACTTAAAAAGATGAGAGAGGCCTGTAATTGGCATCATAGGTAGACCTCAACTATGAGAGACAAAATGAGAAAAAAAATCCAGACAATCACATTGGCTGATTTGGAAAGAATTTATTTGCAAATTATGGTGGAAAATAAGTATTTGGTCAATATCAAAAGTTCATCTCAATACTTTGTTATATATCCTTTGTTGGCAATGACAGAGGTCAAACGTTTCTTGTAAGTCTTCACAAGGTTGGCACACACTGTTGCTGGTATGTTGGCCCATTCCTCCATGCAGATCTCCTCTAGAGCAGTGATGTTTTGGGGCTGTCGCTGGGCAATACGGACTTTCAACTCCCTCCAAAGGTTTTCTATGGGGTTGAGATCTGGAGACTGGCTAGGCCACTCCAGGACCTTGAAATGCTTCTTACGAAGCCACTCCTTCGTTGCCCGGGCGGTATGTTTGGGATCATTGTCATGTTGGAAGACCCAGCCACGTTTCATCTTCAATGCCCTTGCTGATGGAAGGAGGTTTGCACTCAAAATCTCACGATACATGGCCCTATTCAGCAATTGTGCCAGTCAGTGCCCAACAGTTGTGCCAGTCAATGCCCAGCAGTGCCGCCAGTCAGTGCCCAGCAGTGCCGCCAGTCAGTGCCGCCTATCAGTGCTATCAGTACCCATCATCAGTGCCCCCTATCAGTGCCGCCTATCAGTGCCACCTATCCATGCCACCTCATTAGTGCTGCCTATCAGTGCCGCCTATCAGTGCCCTTCAGTACTGCCTATCAGTGCCCATTAGTGCTGCCTATCAGTGCCCATCACTGCTGCCTCATCAACGCACATCAGTGAAGGAGAAAAATTACCTGTTTGCAAAATTTTATAAAAAAGAAACAAAGAAACTTTTTTTTTTCAAATTTTTTGCACTTTTTTTGTTTATAGCGCAAAAAGTAAAACACCCGGCGACAATAAAATACCACCAAAAGAAAGCTCTATTTATGAGAAAAAAAATTATAAAAATTTCATATGGGTACAATCTTGCATGACCGCGCAATTGTCATTCAAAGTGCGACAGTGCTGAAAGCTAAAAATTGGCCTGGTAAGGAAGGGGGTATAAGTGCCCGGTAGGCAAGTGGTTAACTGGTGGGTGTTGGCAAATTGCACTAATAGTGGGACTATCTTAAAGAGTATTGTTAAAAACCAGGAGTGCATTATGCACAGGGTGCAGGGTCCAAGAGTGTGCTATGTACACGCAGTGGAATTCAGATGTGCACTGCATACAGAGTGCAGAGCTCATTTACAAGTTTTACAGTCTCTGTTGGAGAGCCAGCCATCGTCTCCTTAGTGTACTACCCCAGATCCTAGATGAACTTCTCCTCTTCACCCAGCAATCTGGAGGTATCCCTTAACAGGGGATCCAGTTCCTGTCACTTTAAGAGATGAGCAATCACTGGTAGGTGGCCAATCTAATTTCCCACCAGTTTGCTCCTTCCCCTATCTGCCCAGGGGGTGCAGGTGTACTCACTCAGATCCTCTTCTGTATCGCTGGTGGGTTGGTGGCTGCTACCAGGCCTATTGGCTGGGCTGCTCCTTCCCTGCCATACAGGTGGTCCTCTCTCAGGGGGCCGGTGAGCTGTGAGCTTTCCTCCTTTCCAGCTCCAGGCCTGCAGGTGGGCCTCCTCGCAGCCTCATTCCTTCAGCCTCACATCTTCCTTTGTAAATTCCACCCGAACTCTCCTGCAACTGAGCAGGCTCCAACATGTTTAGGGGGGTCCCAGCCCCTTGCCAAGCCTCCTGTTGGGGATTGGCCAGGATCCCTCAAGAGTGCAGCCAGCCACTCCTCAAATCCACCCACTGCCTCTTGGGCCTTCCTCCAAAGCCGTAGAGTAGGGGAATATTCCAGAGGGCCTGGCCTGCAGAGCCTCTCAGCTCCTGACCATGATTTGACCTTCAGGCTTTTACACCCAGGCTGCTACTCAGCCCTCCTCACTGACAATTAAAACATTAGCTCCCCCTAGCTAAACTAGGAGGGTGCTACACATAATACACTATGGGGTCTACTTTGCACTGCCCTCTTTGTGTTTCCTTCTCATAGGGATATGTAGGGCAGGGAGGACTCTTTGCCAGCCACCAAGAGAGGAGCACTGTCACATGTAAACACAGAAGCCAGGTTTCTGTGTTTACAAGTGACAGTAGTGAGAGGTAAGCACAGAGCTAGTCCAAAGGTGGGAGAACATCCAGTTAAAAAAATCCCTGCCTCTAACAACACGTCTTCACACTGAGGAGATATCCACACATACAGTTGTGTTCAAAATAATAGCAGTGTGTTGAAAAAAGTGAATAAAGCTCAAAATCCTTTTAATAGCTTTTATTTCCATACACACAAATGCATTGGGAACACTACACATTCTATTCCAAACCAAAACATGAAGAAAAATATATCAAATTTGTGTTGTTCCTCTAAAAAAATTGAAGAAAAGTGAATATTAGACTGTTCAAAAAAAATAGCAGTGTTTGTATTCTTCTTTACAAACTCAAAAACATTCACTATATACCATATTTTTCGCTCCATAAGACGCACCTGACCATAAGACGCACCTAGGTTTTAGAGGCAGAAAACAGGAAAAAAAAATTCTGAACTAATGGACTGCAGACATAGTAGAGGAGATGACCAGAGACTGCGGACAGTACAGGGATGACCAGAGACTGCGGACAGTACAGGGATGACCAGAGACTGCGGACACAGTACAGGGATGACCAGAGACTGCGGACACAGTACAGGGATGACCAGAGACTGCGGACAGTACCGGGATGACCAGTGACTGCGGACAGTACAGGGATGACCAGAGACTGCGGACAGTACAGGGATGACCAGAGACTGCAGACACAGTACAGGGATGACCAGAGACTGCGGACATAGTACAGGAGATGACCAGAGACTGCAGACACAGTACAGGGATGACCAGAGACTGCGGACAGTACAGGAGATGACCAGAGACTGCGGACAGTACAGGAGATGACTGCTGACCTTTGGGGAGGGAGGGGGAGCGGGTACCTGAATTTGACAGGTACCCGCTCTTACTTCCGCAGAGTTTTTTTTTTTATCTTACCTGTTCCTCTATCCAGCCGCGCGCTGTCTTACCGGCTTCTGTAGTGTGGGCGCTCGGCGGACAGACGGATGCCCAGTGCGCATGCGCGAGAAGCGCTGCGCTTTGTGATTGGTCCGGCGGCTTCTGGATCTGTCATGTGTCCCAGGTACCGCCTTACCATTCACAAAGAGCACTGCTTCTTGCGCATGCGCACTTGGGACCCGGCTGTCACGCACACTACAGAAGCCGGGAAGACAGCGCGCCGCTGGATAGAGGGACAGCTAAGGTCCCACTGCAGAACTGAGCGGTCGGCCCGGTATTCTGACACGGCGGCGGTGGAAATGCTCTATATTCGCTCCATAAGACGCACTGACATTTTCCCCCCTTTCTTGGGGGAAAAAAAGTGCGTCTTATGGAGCGAAAAATACGTTAAACTGAAATAAAAAAATGTTTGAAGATTTTGCTTTCCTTTGAATCACTTAATTAATATTTAGTTGTATAAGCACTGTTTCTGAGAACTGCTGTACATCTGTGTTGCATCAAGTCAACCAACTTCTGGCACCTGTGAACAGGTATTCCAGCCCAGGATGATTGGACGACATTCCATAGTTCTTCTCTATTTCTTGGTTTTGCCTCAGAAACTGCATTTTTGATGTCACCCCACAAGTTTTCTATTGGATTAAGATCCGGGGATTGGGCTGGCCACTCCATAATGTCAATCTTGTTGGTCTGGAACCAAGATGTTGCACGTTTACTGGTGTGTTTGGGGTCGTTGTCTTGTTGGAACACCCATTTCAAGGGCATTTCCTCTTCAGCATAAGGCAGCATGACCTCTTCAAGTATTCTGATGTATTCAAACTGATCCATGATCCCTGGTATGCGATAAATAGGCCCAACACCATAGTATGAGAAACATCCCCATATCATGATGCTTGCGCAACCATGCTTCACTGTCTTCACAGTGTACTGTGGCTTGAATTCAGTGTTTGGGGGTCGTCTGACAAACTGTCTCCGGCCACTAGACCCAAAAAGAACAATCTTACTTTCATCAGTCCACAAAATGTTGCGCCATTTCTCTTTAGGCCAGTCAATGTGCTCTTTGGCAAATTGTAACCTCTTCAGCACG